TGGGTCACTAAGTCCTGGTGCCAGGCACGCCCCTCCTCCTGCCCAGGGACCATCCTGGCCTGGAGGCCTGGAGGCCTGGGGTCATGGATCAGGTCTGTCCCCGAAAGGCTCCTCGCAGCTCTGTGTCCTGGCCCTGTGTGCAGATCAGGGCATGTCCCACCCCCCACTTCATCTTCTCTGCTCTCTCCCAGCCTCTCTCTCACCCTAGCACCCCTCACCCCTCACCCTTCAGCACAGCTGCCGTGTTAGCAAGACCTCTGACCGCCTTCATTTAGGCTGCAATCCCCGAGGCGCCCCTTCAGGGCCTCGCATGTCCCGGTCCTGTGTGACCAGCGCCCATCCCAGGCCCCTAGATGCTCTCTAATGGGTAGGAGCCTGGCTTCTCCACACCGTCCTCTGTCCCTGGACCCCGGTCACGGCGCCAACAGCGACTTCAAGCACAACACGCCCCGAATCCTCTCCTGGCTCGTGAGAGAGGCGAGAGGAAGCCCCGCACCAGTCGGGAAGGTCTTCAGCGACCCAGTCTCCGAGCGTCCGGGCTCTTCACCTCAGTCCCCACCTGGGCTCCAGTCTGGGCTGTGGGGACTCAGATCTACCCTCAGAGCCTCAGTTTCCTCATCCACGCAATGGGCCTCACCGTAGTACCTCGCTCACAGGGCCCTTAGGGCATTATTCCAGGAGACGGAGGTTTGCAAAGGTCCCCGCACAGCATTACCCGGGGAGGTAAGAGCTGCAGCTGGTAGTGGCGATCCCTCTCTCTGGCTTCCCTTTGTGCCGGGGACCCTTTGTGTAGGGCACCGCAGGGCATAATCCTGCAGATGCTGCTAGTGACGATTCTTTATGCCAAGTGTGCTACACGCATCATCTCGATCCCAACAACATGGGTGTGACAGCCGTCCCCTTTATGGATGAGGAGACCGAGGCTCAGAGAGGTGAGGGCACTTGCCCGAGGTTGCACAGCAGCGTATGGCAGAGCCGGGATTTGGGCTGCAAAGCCACGTTGCCGTCAGCCGGGTGTCTGGAGGGTTCTGTGCTGGGCACCGGGATACACGGTGGATAAGTCCCCTTGGAACAAACCAGGTTCCCTCCAAGCTCACACTGCTGGTCCGTGTCCGTTACACGGTCCTTGGGAACAGACGGGAGAAGGGTGTGTGTGTATTGGGGTGCGGGCATGTGGGAGGAGCCAGCTGCCCGCTCCATATGGTGGCTCTGCCCACTAACTCTGCCAGCACCCGGGGAGGAGGGGCTCCGTGGAGAAAGTGGGGGGAGAGGGGGCAGAACTGCCTTGGGCAGGAGTGTGGCTTTGGGGTGTTGTTGGTGGGTTTTGTTTCAGCCCCCCTGCGGGGAGCAGGGTTGAGTGGCCAGCTGCTCCGCGTACACTGTCTGGGTGACTTCTCATGCGACTCTTAGCCCTGTACAAACGAGGCTCAGAGAGGTACAGCCACCTGCCTCAGGTCACACAGCTCGCGAGAGGCAGAGGGGGAGAGCCCGTGCCTGTGACGTCGGGCTGTGCCCAGGACCCCC